TTGATCTCTTTGTAGATTCTGGTTATTAACCCTTTATCTGTTGCATAGTTTGCAAATATTTTTTCCCATTCTGTCGGTTGTCTCTTCACTCTCCTGACTGTTTCTTTTGCAGTAAAGAAACTTCTCAATTTGATGCAATCCCAATAGTTGATTTTGGCTTTGACTGTCTGTGCCTCCTGGGTCTTTTCCAGAAATTCTTTGCCTGTGCCAATATCTTGAAGGGTTTCTCCAATGTTCTCTAATAACTTAATGGTGTCAGGACGTAGATTTAGGTCTTTAATCCACGTTGAGTGGATTTTTGTGTAAGGTGTAAGGTAGGGGTCTTGCTTCATGCTTCTGCACGTGGAAATCCAGTTTTCCCAGCACCATTTATTGAATAGACTGTCCTTGCTCCAGGAATTAGTTTTAGATCCTTGATCAAATATAAGTTGGCTGTAGATGTTTGGGTTGATTTCTGGTGTTTCAATTCTGTTCCATTGGTCTATCCATCTGTTTCTGTACCAGTACCATAAGAGGTCTGCACCCTAATGTTTATTGCAGCACAATTCACAATAGCCAAGACCTGGAACCAACCTAAATGCCCATCAATGGTAGACTGGATAAAGAAATTATGGGATATGTATTCTTTAGAATACTATACCGCAGTAAGAAACAACGAAATCCAGTCATTTGCAACAAAATGGAGGAATCTGGAACACATCATGCTGAGTGAAGTAAGCCAGTCCCAAAGGGACAAATACCATATGTTCTCCCTGATCGGTGACAACTGACTGAACACCAAAAAGGAAACCTCCTGAAGTGAAATGGACACTATGAGAAATGGTGACTTGATCAGCATAGCCCTGACTGCTAATGGACAACTTAATACATTATCCCTCATAGTATTTTTTTTTTGTCTGTTCTACTTAATATGACTGGTTTAATTCTGTAATTATCACACAGTTATTCTTAAGTGTTGAAAATTAACTGAAATGTGATCCCTGTTAAACATAAAAGTGGGAATAAGAGAGGGAAGAGATGTATAATTTGGGGCATGCTCGGGCTGACTTGCCCCAATTGGTAGAGTTGGAAACATACTAGGGGATTCCAATTCAATCCCATCAAGGTGGCATGTGCCAATGCCATCTCACTATTCCAAGTGATCAATTTCAGTTCACAATTGATCATAATGAAAGGACTAAGAGTCAAAGGGAGCACATAAACAAGTCTAGTATCTGCTAACACTAACCGATAGAATAAATAAAGGGGAGAGTGATCCAACATGGGAAGTGAGATACTCAGCAGACTCATAGAATGGCAGATGTCCTAAATAGCACTCTGGCCTCAGAATCAGCCCTAAAGGCACTCGGATCTGGCTGAAAAGCCCATGAGAGTATTTCAGGCATGGAAAGCCAAGACACTCTGGCAAAAAGATCTCTGTGAGTGAGATCCCAGTGGAAAGAACAGGTCTTCAAAGAGGGAGGTGCCTTTCTCTGAAGGGAGGAGAGAACCTCCACTTTGACTATGACCTTGTCTAAACAAGATAAGAGTCGGAGAACTCAAGGGGCTTCCATAGCCTTGGAAACTCATGACTGGTGCATAGGGAGATTACTGATGCCATAAACAGGAGTGTCAATTTGTAAAGTCAACAACAGGAGTCACTGTGCACTTACTCCTCATGTAGGATCTCTGTCCTTAATGTGCTGTACACTGAGGCTTAATGCTATAACGAGTACTCAAACAGTATATTTCACTTTGTGTTTCTATGGGGGTGCAAACTGTTGAAATCTTTACTTAATGTACACTAAACTGATCTTCTGTTAAAAAAAAAAAAAAAAGAAAAGAAACTATCAATTCCCAACTTGACTCTCACTGGGATTAAACATGACAATAGGTCTGATCTGATTTCATCATCATTTAAAAAAAAATCATCTATTATTTTTCACTTTATGTTTCTGTGTGGGAACAAACTGTTGAAATCCTTACTTAAGGTATACTAAGCTGATCTTCTGTATACTAAGATAATCGAAAATGAATCTTGATGTGAATGGAAGGGGAGAGGGAGTGGGAAAGGGGAGGGTGGTGGGTGGGAGGGACGGTATGGGGGGGAAAGCCATTGTAACCCATGAGACGTACTTTGGAAATTTATATTCATTAAATAAAAGATAAAAAAAAAAAAAAATGAGGAGGAAGAGGGAGCCTGGGGGCCAGGAGGAAGAACCGGTCATCTTGCCCACTCCATTCCAGGTTGCCTTCCTCCAGATCTAAGTAAGGGTATGGTATCTGCAGTGACCTATTTCCAAACAAGGCTCTTTTGAGTTAAGTGATTCAGACTGAATGAATGTAAACCCCATCTTCCTTCTCTCCTCTGAAGTATTGGGGAGACACTCCATTGCTCACTGATACTTTGTTCGTTTTTGAGTGCTTATAGACTGAATATTTATTTGTTAATGAAATTCATATGCAAAAGCAGAGCTCCTTTACATGATCCCACTCACAAGAAAGGGAGACCAAAAATGCAGACTGGATGTCAAAGAGGAACAAAGTAGATGTTGTACAGCGCAGAGTTTCTGCCATACGTAGCCAATGTCTGTCTTCATGTGGAGACCCTACTACCCGCTAAGGTATAGCTTCCAGAAAAAAGTTTTTTTTTCACATTAATTTCTTCTCTGTGTAATTTTGCCAATGTTTGTGGAAGTGTGCCTTATAATAAAGTTTTTTTTTTTACTTCCATTACATTCATAATTTTTCTCGGTGTGAGTTTTCTGATACACAGGCTCACTGATACTTTGAGTGAGAGTGCGATTACTTGTTTTGTGGGTCAGTGTAGGTGAGATGTGCGTGATACATCTCTGGGTCTCACACAGGTGAAAGTAGACATCCTTGTACGTATATTTTTTAAGTTTCTGATCAAGGAAGCCAGGAAGACTGGGTCCTCTTAAGTGGAACTTGTCCAGTGACAATGGCCATTGGACTGCTGGTACTCCTGATGCTGGTGCTGCTTGAAGCCCTGCCACTCCTGAGAGCTGAGGACCAGGGGAGTGAGGTTGCAACTGAAGGAGGGCTCTCAAGCGGGCTTCTCGGGAAGGCTGGTAATATCCTGGCTCCCTGAAGGGATCACTGAAACAACCTGCTAATGATGCAAACACGAGTTCACTGCTAACCCAGGTCTGAGCGGGTACGACCTAGATGGACTCACAGCAGCCTCTCAGGGTCGGGAGGGCAGTGTGCGCTATCGGAGTCTAGTTTAAGGTGGGGCCTCCATGTGGTGACTGGATTAGAATTGGGTAAGGACCATTTGGGGTTGGCAAGCACAGTGAAGTCAGAATTTCGAAGTGAGGGTTCAAAATTCCGTCTTCAAAAGTAATAGTTACTTGATGCTATCTATCAAGCATTTTAAAATGGCTTTGCAACATTTATCTTCCCAGGCAATAGTTTCCTGGAATAGTAAAATTATGCTGATAAAGATGGTGGAATTTTAATGTTGTGTTAGTGTTAGTGAAGATAATAACTTATGTGGGTGTAAACAGTTTCAGTTCTCAGACCTACTTTTTAAGATCTTTCACTTTGGATTCTCCAGAAAGCCTCATTTAGAAAGAGGTTTGATCTCTTCCCAGGCAAATTCTAACTCAGCTTTCATATCATCTCTACCCTTTGGTAAAGGAGTTACTGGACCCCCCTCCCCTCACTGTGAAGAGGGGGAGGGTTGAGTTCATTTCTACAAGAGACGGAGGGGAGTTAATCTGATTGGTCAGACGCTGAGACATGTTTTAGACCACATCTTACTGTTGCACAAGAGTGTGTGCATGTGTATTAATGTGCTACCTAGTTAAAAACAAACTTCAGGGCTTTGGTTTATTCCCTTGCATGTAGGTGCACTTAGGTCTCTCCCATTCCCTTGCACTGGGCATAGTGTGGGAAGTCCAGCATTTACATCCTCAGATCTAGCTCCTTGACCGCATGGCTGCTGAGCCTAGCAGAATCCAGTCTGTTCTGCTGCCCGTTTGGATTTAGAGGTGAGAGAAGGAAACGTTTTCCATGCTTCCATGGTCCCATGTCGCTTACCATAGAAACCATTATTCAGGGGCCCTGGGCTCCTGCTGGATACACTCTTTCCATCCCTGCAGGACACCATCCAACACCCTCCATCCTTTTCCACCTACTTTGTGCACAGGGAAGCTGACCTGTGTGATCTCTACCAATCCACTCCCTTGCCTGACTGTTCAGCTAATGAGAAGTACCAGTCAGAGATCAGCGGGAAGGAAATGAGTGGGATTGGGGTGTTTATTTCCCAGATAACTCCTTCAAGTTCCATGATGTGCTGGCTGCATTCCTTATCCAAATGTCAAAGCTTCTGTCACATGCCACCCTCCAAATGGATATCTCTATCCAGGGTTTCTTGTAACAGTTCTTTCCTTTTGACCCTCTAGACCTTGGGGTAGGACTAGCTGCAATGAACCCTGAAATATTGCACTAATCCTTATGATTTCTCTATGCCCTGCTCACACTATTATAAGTGGGCCTCTTGTTTATTAAGCTCTATTAAAATTACTCAGTACGAGGGCCATCTCTTACCTGGCCATTGTGGAGCTTTGCTGAGTTGTTAAGATAGTTGATATTTTGTTTCTTTTTTGGTTGTAGTCAGGCGATGTCTAGCAAGTATTTGATAAATTTTGTTGAATGAATGACTAAACAAGTGAGTGGTAGCACTTGAACTCCAATCCCTCCCCTCCCAGCTTCCGATATACAGCTGAGCGTTCACATGTAAAGTATACGTGGTTGATGAATTCTGAGAGCAATAAACAGACATAGGTTCTGTGACTCAGACCTTAAGGACTTAACACTTCTCTGGGTTTGCCCAAGTGGTTTGTGCCCAGGTGTCTTCCTTTACAGGGAAGCAATGTTCAATAATATACTGAGTATTTGAAATACACAGTCGTGATGAAGATAAGCTGTCCACCAAATGAGGAGCAGTGTGATTTCTTCATCTCAAGAACAGAAAGAAAGTTCAGACTAGAAAATAAGACTTGAACATCAAAAAATTTCATTTGTAAAATTTATGATTTTGAAAGGTTCATACTGAATGAACTCAAATTATAGCTACCAGTTCTGAATGTGTAAAGTTTATGTGACCTTTATTGTAATTAATATTGTACTAAGCATCATCATATTATATATATATAAGAGGTAAATTTGATGTTACTATTTTGTAATGATGCCTATGGTTACTGTCGGTTTCACACCTGCAGGCTGCAGTGTTTCATAGCATTGATTGTAATTACATTTCCACTGCGCAAGTGTTAGAGGGACTCATTTCAGTTGTGAGATGTGACCAGTGAACCGCATGTCTCTGGGGGACACCCTAGTTAACCCTCGGTGAAGATGCTTCCACGGGTAGAGCTCACATAAATATTGGGCAGAACAGTCTCAAGATCCCTCACCATGCCCAACCCTAAGGGAGTTCCTAGTTGTTTACTAATTTGCTTATATCAAATTTCCTTAAATGGAGAAATTCTATGAGCCTCTTCCCTGGGTTTCCCAGCAGGAGAGGGGTCCACTGTAAGTTGCCGTAATACACTTCGTCTTGGCGGAGAGCTCCCCCTTTGATGATCTCCAGGGCACATTCCTCCTTCGGAGCTGCCTTCATATCGATTTTACCAGAAACTTCCTTCATGGCCGTGTCTGTAGAAGGACAAGGGAAGAGTGATGTTGTGCAAGACCAGTGGAGGTACATGACGGGAGACCTGTAGACACCAGCAGTTGTTGGCCAGTGCTTACCCTGTAAGCCTCACAGACCCTAGAATGAATACCTGGACACTGGGTAGGTTTACAGCCTGCTGAGCAAACACAGGTCTTAGTGTTAATAGGGGCCCTGACTACCTGTATGGAGGTTTGTGGAGGTAATTAGAAGTGATTAGTTGAGGGACCTGTACTGTGGTGTAGTAGGCTAAGCCTCTGCCTGTGGCACCTGCACCCATCCCATATGGGCACGGGTTTGTGTCCCGGCTGCTCCTCTTCTGACCCAGCTCTCTGCTATGGCCTGGGAAAGCAGCAGACGATGGCCCAGGTCCTTGGGCCCCTGCACCCGAGTGAGCGACCCTCAAGAAGCTCTTGGCTCCTGGCTTCGGATCAGCCCAGCTCCAGCTGTTGCGGCCATTTGGGGAGTGAACCAGTGGATGGAAGACCTTTCTCTCTGTCTCTCCCTCTGTCTGTGACTCTGCCTCTCAAATAAATAATAAATAAATAAATCTTTAAAAAACTTTTTTTTAAAAAGAAGGGATTAGTTGGGAGATCCAAATCATGCTCTTCTCTTGGGTATTTTGGTTTGAATGAAAGAGTAAAGTGGGTGGGGGAAGGGGGACAAAATAAGGACATGAGTCACCTGATGACCCCATACCTGATGAGACCTTTCCGTGTGCAGAAGCCGAGTGCTGTTTGATAATGACTTACCCGGAAGGGGAGAGGGAGACAAGAACCCAGGATTTTGCTCCTTTGTCACCAATGAGAAAACTAATTTTTCCTTCTCTCTCCTTCCACGTTTTCATAGCCTTCTTGAGGAGATTCTCTTGTCTCTATACTTGATTGTTCTATTGTCTCTTGTTCTGTAACTATTACTCAATTACTTAAAAAGTTGTTTATTTAAGAGGGGAGAGAGAGAGAACACACTCCCAACCACTGGTTCACTCCCCAAATGCCTGCAACAACTGGGGGCCGAAGGCAGGAGCTAGGAACTCAGTGCAGACCGCCCATGGACATCAAGAATACAATTGCTTGAACCGTCAGTTCTGCATCCCAGAGTCCACATTAGCAGGAGGCAGGAATCTGGAGCTGGAGAAGGGTATACAACCCAGGTATTCTGATACGGGGTACAGCCGTCCTAACAGGCACCTTAACTGCTAGACCAAATGCTTGCCTTTCAATGATTTTTTAAATAAAAATTTCTTATAGTACCTGCCCCATGTTTTAGATGAACTTTTGTCTAGACTTACAGAGAGTTGTGAAAACTGTACAAAGTACACCTTGTATATTTAACCCTGTTTCCTGTTATTTATGATTGTCACATCATAAATAACCATTGTGCAATGGATGAAGAAGAGATACAGTAGAATGGATACAATCTTATTAAAGACCCTGTTTTTTTCCAGTCATTTCCTTTTATCTTCTAGATTCTGTCCATGATTGCACCTAGTACTAATTTTTTTATTTTTCCTCCAATCTGTTACAGTTCTTTATTCTTTTCTTTTTTCTTATGGCCTTGACACTTTTGTAGAATATTGATCAATTGTCTTGTGACTGTTCCTCAATTTAGGTTTGTCCCTTTCTGTGGGGAGCAACTCGGACTAGACTGTTACTGGAATTAAGACTTATTCTATGCATCTGCTCTCCCACAATATGGCGCTGGGAGAGGAGGAAACAGCTTCTACGCAGCTGCCTCCAGTTCACCCAATAAGCAGCAGGACCTGCTCCTGATTGGAGGAGAGCAGCGTACTTGGCGTGTGGGTAGCAGAGTTGGGATTGGTGGAAGAGGACTATAAAGGAGGAGAGAGACAACATGCACCAGGAACATCTAGCTGAAGGAACACCTGAGCAGCCCCCGAGAGAGCTGGCCGGCGGTGTGCTGCTCCCCCGCGGAAGTGGGGAAAGTGGCAGGGGGAACTGCCCTTCCACGGAGGTGGAAGGGACGGTAGCCAACTCGGGAAGAACCAGCAGCAAACCCGGGGAGGGCCGAGCAGACAAAAGAACAGCGCAGGGTCCTGTGTCGTTCCTCCACGAAGAGGGGGAGCGACACCTTTCCTCTTATGATAAGGTTATGTGCTTTTGGAAAGAATATCACAAAAATCATGTTGTGTTCTTCTCAGTGTATCATATCAAAGAATTCGTGATATCAGTATGTCTTATTACTGGTAACGTTATTAAGAAAAACAAATTTATATTCTTAAGGCTCATATGGAAAAATAATGACCATAAAGACATAGGTGCTCAGAGAAGGGTCAGGTGATGGGTGTGGTGTCACTCAGCCAAGCTGGTGGTCAGAGTTGGGAAGCAGATTCAGAGAGTGGTGAGAGGCTCCACTAGCGATGGATGTGCTTCATTCAATGACAGGGTATTTTCTGTCTCTGATCCTTAGTGCACTATGCTTGAGTCAAGGAGTCCAGCACTCCCTTTACCCACAACAGTGAGGCAGACAGTCCATCCACAGGTCATTTATTTCAATGTGCTAGCCTTACCTGTGTCTATGAGGCCAAGGACACAGAGAGTGATTGACACATTGACGTTGGTGAGCCAGTGTTCCTTCCTGATAGCAGAGAAAAAGCCATCCAGAGCAAACTTGCTTGCAGAATAGGGAGCAATCAAGGGATGAGCTATTTTCCCTAAACAGTAAAGAAATAGGTTAACAAGGTGATCCATTTCAGCTTCCACCCTACAGCAGACTTCATAACCCCTTTAGGGTTTTCTTACCCTTTGAATCTTGGTTTTTCACTATCCCTTATAGAAATCATCCTTCTGTGTTGGACTTGTGAAAGGACAATCATTAAGACACCGAAGGCTTGTGGTGTGGGGTGGGTTGCAGGGCAATCTTCACTGAAGAGGGCTTGTTTAGATTTTTAGTAAGGGTGGTAAGTAAGCTGGACAGTAGAACCATGCAGTCCCACGGCTGCAAGCTCTTCTGCCTGTGACCCAAGGAAGCCAGGGATTCAAGGGTTTGATGCGAGCTCTGTGCTCAGTCTGCTCATTGATCATGGAGAGAGTATGCGTACACAAAGGCGATAAACCATCTTATCATCGGGAATTTGTACCCAGAATCCCTGCCACCCCCCTTTAAAATGTTCATCAGCCTGATTAATTTCCACACTTTTTTTAAAGGATATGTGACATACATCTTAAAAGATAACCTATTCTTTATACCCATTCCAAGAAGAGGAAGTAGAAGTAGACTGAGACTACAATCTTTGTTGACCCCAGCTATAAAAGCACTTAAAAACTGTTGTCCGCTAATTCTAGAATCTGGGTCATTTTAGGATTCAGTTGTATTGTATCTGGCCATATTGTGAATGCCAAATTGTAGAGTATATGGATTCTATCCTATCCTTCCAAAGAATGTGTGTGTGTGTGTGTGTGTGTGTGTGTATTTTAAGTGATTAGCTAACAGGTGAAATTCTGTATTTCTTGCAGTAGGTACCAGCTTAAATCACTGTGCAATTATCTGAATCCTAATGTAGCTGCATGGTCTCTGCAATGCCCATGTGTAGCTCAAGGGACAACCAGAGATTTGGGCAGAAATTATATATAGATTTCTATGCTTCCCCACTGTGGCTCTCTCCTTTCCAGCATCTTTCTCTCATCCCCTTATTTTCCCCTGTATAGTAACCCCATCCACTTCCTTCTAGATCTTCAAGCTAGTAATATGGCAATTTTTTTATCCCAGATTGAGCACTGATTAGGGCTGCCCTCAGGCATAAAACTATAAAATTGGAGAGCTTGACTAGTTCATCCTTTTCCAAGTGTCAACAGCCATCCAGTTTCTCTTTGTCTTGGTGTATTCTCCACACCACCTTTCAATGGTCACCTCTTTCAATGGTTGTTCCCTGTGTTTTGTCAGAAGTTTATAGTTGTTATCTGCCTTTCAGATACCGGGATTGGAACCTCTGTGTTTCTACGTGTGATGTATTTGTGTGCCAAATCGATGAACAAAGGATGACTTCTCCTGTTCAATAAAGATGTTAGGAAAATTGGTGGACTAATGGGAAAAATGAAGTTAGCTTCTTGTTTTATATCCTATATCAAAGAAACTCTAGATGGAAAATTCTGACAGTGTTGTTTACCCCACATCCATTTCTCCCTCATTTGTGATAGAATCTGTTTGTATTTAGGACATCAATGGGCTCAGGTAAAAATTCTCATCTGCCCTAGAGTCCCTTGCTCTAGTGGCCTTGAGATCGAATTCTGGTTGATGAGAAACCTAATAGAGGAGATTTCCAGGAAAGATTGATTTCTGGATGGGTAAATGGATTCAGGTGATAAGCAGCTTTCACATTTTGGCCTTCTGCTTTATTCCTAAATAAATGGCACGTGAGTTGCCTGTAACTGTTGCAGTCATTTTCTGAGCCTCAGAAAAAGTGAAATATCAAGGACAGGGACACAGGAATATGGAGCAAACTGGGATTCATGATACTGTGAGTTGACCAAACCACTCCTGAAGTTGTGATCTGAGGAGAGGGAACCTCTATTTGTTAAGCCACTGTAGGCGGGGTTTTGTTACATGTGCAACAGAATGCAATTTCTGACTGACATAAAATTAATTCAGTTAGGAGTGGCCATTTGGCCTAGTGGTTATGATGCTGCTTTGGTACTTGCATCTCATGTCAGAGTGTCTGGGTTCAGTTCGCAGCCGTGCTGTCAATTTCCAGCTTTCTGCAAATGCACACCCTGGGAGGCAGCAGGTGATCTGTTTAATCCTATTCTTCTTACTCATTTTTGATACAGAACTCAGCCTGTGGCACATTTTGGATGCATGAGACTTAAGGAGAATTTTGTTGGAGCTTCTTTGTTTTTTCTGGGCAAGTTCTTTGTTTTTCTGGGCAAGTTTCTGAGAGTGACATCCTCTTTCTCTCTTATGGACGGGTGTGTGTGCATGGCTATGAGAGCTGGCGCTGCTACAGCTATCTCACTGTTAGCCTGAGGATGAAAACACATATGGACAAGAACAGGGGCTAGAGAATCATGGGGACATGCAGTGGGAGCCAAGTCAACTGTGAAACCACCCTACATCTGAACTTCAGTTATGTCAATAATTTTCTTTACTTTTTATACAAAAAAATAGGTCCAAATCAATTCTAGGAACAGCGTAGTAGTTAAAAGTATGAGCTCAAGAGTTAGATGACCCAACTAGGTATGCCATTTCTTAGCTGTAATATGTAGATAATAACTTTACCAAGCTAACACTGTGGGGAGCAACTCGGACTAAACTGTTACTCGAATTAAGACTTATTCTATGCATCTGCTCTCCCACAGTATGGCGCTGGGAGAGGAGGAACCAGCTTCTACACAGCTGTCTCCAGTTCAACCAATAAACAGCAGGACCTGCTCCTGATTGGAGGAGAGCAGCGTACTCGGCGTGTGGGTAGCAGAGTTGGGATTGGTGGAAGAGGACTATAAAGGAGGAGAGAGACAACATGCACCGGGAACATCTGAGCAGCCCCCGAGAGAGCCGGCCGGCGGTGTGCCGCTCCCCCGCAGAAGTGGGGAAAGTGGCAGGGGGAACCGCCCTTCCACGGAGGTGGAAGGGACGGTAGCCAACCCGGGAAGAACCAGCAGCAAACCCGGGGAGGGCCGAGCAGACAAAAGAACAGCGCAGGGTCCTGTGTCGTTCCTCCACGAAGAGGGGGAGCGACAAACACAATCCATGTGACATGTGTAGCACAAACTCCAACGCAGAAAAAGTGTTCAGAAAATACAGTTATCATTAGTATTAGTAATGATAAAGATATCAACGTGGCATTTAATGTGTTTGTCCAGGTGGCAATGAAGATGCAGAAGCAAGAGACTATGTTAAGCCATAGACTGGTTCCTGTAGCAGTGATTTTTTTGTGCAACTCACGGAGCACAATGCATCCTATTTCCTATCCTTAATTTTCCTTAAGTTATGCTCAAGGCACAAAGGAGAAGTCTTAAGTGGTCTTGCAGGAGAAAAGCAGAGAAAGGTGAGAGAAGAGAGAACAGGAAAGAGTAAGTAGAGGGAGAGAGTCATTGAAGGAGCCAGGCATGGCAAAAGACTTCCTGAAAAGGTCACAATGTAGATGCATAGTTTAACAACTTGAAAAACAGTGAAAAACAATACTGAATGGACTAGACAAAGACACCGCAAAATTTTTAGCCTTTAGTATGAAGATTGTACTTGAGGCACACACCATTACACAATTATCTGTGGCTACAACTGTCACCGACATTTATCATGACTGTATTTCGTCTTTCAGATTTCATGACTTACCATTGACCTTACACGTTTAGATTAGTACTTCTCAAATTCAGTGTTCTTGAGGACCATGCGTGGATCAGCCTGTTAAACTGAAGATTTAAGCCCATTCCGCACATTTGCATCCCACCAAGGTTTTTCTAGCTTTTGCTCTGGCATAGACTACAGTATCAAAGAGCTCAGCAGGAAAGAGTGACTTTAGCCATGAGTGGTATTTATAGTGGGTATTGAGGGTTGGTTTGGGGCAGGTGAAGTGTGGTTGCTGAAGCCTGTTCAACCTCATCTAGGAACCCCTGAAGAAATGGGACAGGAAGGCCTTTGGAAGGGAAGTCCCACAGTGACAGCTGCAGGAGGCGTGGAGGAATTATCAGTTATGAAGTCGCTTTATTATTTTTTTTATTTGACAGGTAGAGTTATAGACAGTGAGAGAGACAGAGAGAAAAGTCTTCCTTCTCTTGGTTCACTCCCCAAATGGCCGCTACGGACGGTGCTGCGCTGATCTGAAGCCAGGAGCCAGGTGCTTCCTCCTGGTCTCCCACGCGGGTGCAGGGGCCCAAGCACTGGGGCCATCCTCCACTGCCTTCCCAGGCTACAGCAGAGAGCTGGACTGGAAGAGAAGCAACCAGGACTAGAACCCGGCGCCCATATGGGATGCCGATGCTGCAGGCAGAAGATTAACCAAGTGAGCCATGGCGCCGGCCCCCGCCCCGCCCTTTTTTAAAATTTTATTTATTTGACAGGTAGAATTATGGACTGTGTGTGTGTGAGAGAGAGAGAGAGAGAGAGAAAGGTGAAATTTCTTTAAAGACCAAACTTAGGATGACATGGGAAAACATGGCTCCCCCAGGGTCATTTCCAGTCCTGCCCCACATGACAACCTGAAGTAGTGAGTGTATGCCCCTGTGTTCCCAGGACTCCAGAGAAAATACCATCCGCAACTCCTGCCAAGTCACAGGAAAAACTACGAGTGTCCCAGATGGGCCTCCAAAATCCAGGAAGGCACCCAGCAGAATAGTCAGATTGGATCCCCAAAGGATTAGGCAGCATCAGTGAGCTCTGAACACTTGCCAGGACTAGAGGAGGCCCATCCATAACAGCTGAGTTCCTGCCAAAATAAGACCTTTCCTACTCTTGACTTTTCTTCCCTCTATTCTCCCCTTTCTAAAACCCAAGAGAGGCTGGAGAGAAAATGAGTGGGGTGGGGGAGGAAAGGCCAAAAGCGCGCCCTTTCCTACCCCAAGTTTCCTAACAGTAGGTTCCAGCTTGACACAGGGAGAAGTTTGTGTTCAAGTAAAATGACTGGGCATTTTACCTACTAAAGTGAAACTGCTCTTGAGACTGGCATCCATCCGAGGACCTTTTATTGTCCTAGAGTGACCTGAAAAGTGTTGCTGCCTGCCCTAGATCACATTCAGGTTCAGGGAGAGCTGCCCATAGAACAGGTTTGAACAGGCAGGTTTGATCTTCCCTACAAGATCCATGTGTTCACCTGTCGGTGGAAAAACTGTGCCAGAGTCTGAAGTTCATTAAATAAAATCAGTAAGTAAATAAATGTGCTGTTTTAAAACACACAAGGCTGTTCTGAAAATGAAGGGATTAGAAGGCTAAATGCTTTTGCCCAAGGTTAAGTTTTGGTGTGTGTCGGGGGAGAAAAAGCCGTCACTGCAGAATAAACAAGTGGCCGCTAGATTGTTCTTCTGGGGAGTTGTAGACCACAACGGAATAGAGCTATGGGGACCATACTTTCTGAAGCAAAACATGGGACATGGCGTCTGACAAGTATGAGCGCAGACATGGTGCTAAATGGGACAGAATGTTTGCAATTAGCTCTGTCCCAGAAATGCTGGGACTTAGCCACTGTAGAAACGGCAAGAGCCAGAGAGCTGGCAGAGAAGCCACGCTCTGAGGCTTGTTAGCTGTGCAGAAGAGGTCAAAGGGAGGCCTGGGTGCTTTTGTTCATCCTCTCCCCACCCTCCATCTTCAGCTGCCTTGCTGAGATTTTGAAATGATTTCCATTTCAAAGGCGGATTTTAAACTAGTCTAATTGAATGTTCAGAAGAAAGTGCGCAGGATTGAAAGGCTTCGTTCCTGCTGCCTTCAGACTTACAGAGCAACCCCACCCGGCAAACAGGCCACATCCTCTACTGAGCTAGCCCTAATTTGAGGCTCACCAGGCCCAAGGCTGGAAACTCATCCTGGATCCTGACCTCCCCCTTTCCCGCAGTGTTCCTAAGTGTTTCCTCAGCTGGGACCCTCGTAGTCTCAACTCTACAACTGTTGGGGTTGGGTCTGGTTCTGAAGATACCTCTACCTCCTCCAGGCCCTGGAAGACCTAAGGTATCATCATAAATACCGAGACAACCCACAACCCAGTGATGCTTATTAAAGCAATGGGGATAAATGGAATTGTTAAGGGAGAATTTGTTAGAGGATTTAGGATGGAAGAATCCAGAGGAAACCAACAATGAAAGTTGGGGAGATGACGAGCGACTGAAAAACCTGCGTAAGGTCAGACAGCTGAAAAAACCCAGGGGAGTGTTTTGACTGAAGAAAGGAGAGACCGTGGTGTTGAAATAATCCAAAATGCTGAAGAGAGAAGTAAGATAAAACCTGTTACTAAATTTCTCAAGGGGACTTTGGCTAGAACATTTCTGTGCAGTGTCTGTGTAAGAGGATATAAAGTGTGGTTCCTCTTATTGTCTTAGGGTATCAGCACATCTAGGCAAATGTAAAAGAAAAGATGTGAAGAACCACTGCAGCTGAAGAGTGGGCCCAAACCAGTTCTACCAGCACTGCCGCATCCGTGCTGGGAGAGGGGAGAGCCTGCCACGGCTCAGGGGAAGCAGGTGCATCCTCCTCATCTTAAGCCACCCAAGAGGGGCTTCAAGAGCACCATTTGGAGAACTTTCCAAATGTCCCTGGGAATTTGGGTGCTGGGATTTGCCTCACATCTGAAATTCTATAGGCAAGAGGCTGGACTGAAACTGCCCTCACCTGAGAACAAAGCTGAGTGCATGGAGAGATCAACTATATCCATCAATTGCAGTCTTCTTGGAGATCAAATGTTGATCCTGTGGAAGACGTCTGGTCAAGAGTCACCTCTCCAGGCACGAGGGGTAGACTGGGCTGCAAGGGTTGGACTGATAGAAGCCCTGGAGCTGAGGAGGAGCTGAACTGAAATAATGGGCTATTAGAGGCATTGCTGTCACCAGGAGAACAGGATCCTACAGGGGATCTCTGATGAACCCATGAAAAAGCTTTCACCCCACCCCAATCCCCTGTTCATATCTCTTCCAAGTCTCTAGACTCTAGGATGGGGATTCTTTTTCCCTTTGGAAATAATTTCCAACTTACAGAAAAGTTGCAATATGAGTAAATAGTCCTTTTTTTTTTTTTGAGCACTTTGAGGATAATTGCTATAATTGAGGTCATTGCTGATCTCATGTCCCATGCACCCTGTACTCGTCAGCTTTTTGTCACTATAACGAAATACCTGTGGCAGTTAACATTATAAACAGAAAAGGTTTGGTTTTGGCTCCAAGTTCCAGAGGTTCACACCCTAAGATTGGGCAGCCCCATTGGTTGGAGATTTAACGAGGGATTCTTGCTTCGAGAATCCTGAGGGTGCACAAAGCATCACAGGGCAAGAGGAAGCACACTCATCTTTGTGGTCTCTTATAAAGCCACCAGGATTTAATCATGGGGACTCCCTAACTGCGAAACCTAATCCAATGGTCTCCCAAGGGCTCCACCTCCAAACCTGAAAATTGGATTAAGTTTCTATCCTCTTAGTACCAGTGACTTAATACTGTGCAGACCAAGTCTTTAATACAAGGACTTTTAAGGGACATTCAACATCCAAACTAATACACAAACCATAGCACCTCCAAATGCTGTAATTTTCATTTTTTCCGGGACACTTTTCTATATAGCCAGAGTACAACCATCAATACAAGGGAAGTAACTAATGAGTTTACTAGGGCTGCCTTAACAAATTACGGCAAGCTGGATTGCCTAAGACAACAGAGATCTAATCTCTCACAGTTCCAGAGACCAGAAGCCTGAAATCAAGGCTAGGACCAGCTCCATCCAAAGTCTCTGGAGAGAATCCTTTCCTCTGTCAGCACTCCTTGTGGCTCCAACACCCCAATCTCCTCCTCTGTTTCCACCCAGCCTTCACCCCTCTCCCTCTGTCTGTGTCAGCCCTTCTCTTATAAGGATATCGGTTTGGATTCGGAGTACCTTAGAAATCCAGGATGTGCTCCTCTCATATCTTTAACTTCATTACACCTGCAAAGATTCTTTTTCCACAGTCAGGATCACGTTCACCATTCAGGGAGTTAGGATGTAGATATATCTTTTGTGGGGGGGGCACCATTCACCCTACTACAGTAACACTAATATATCCATTTCATCTAATTCACAAACCCATTGAAATTTGGACACATGTCCCACTGATCTTTATAGCAAAAGGAGCCAGTCAAGGATCACATTGCATTTAGCTGGCATGGCTTTTGGGTCCTCTTCAACTTGGAATGAATTTCCCAATATTTCTGTGACTTTCTTGACCTCGACCCTGTTGAAGAGTACAGCCTGAAATTTTGCAAAGCTGATACTCTGGGGCTGGCTCATACTGGATCATGAGAACTAATTTTTAAATATTCATGAATTTTGCAAACAAGTTGATGTCATGTGGATGTGGCCACTGTGGGAGCATTTCCACTATGGAAATGGTGCAATGTCGCTCCCCGTCTTCATGGAGGAACGACACAGGACCCTGCGCTGTTCTTTCGTCTGCTCGGCCCTCCCCGGGTTTGCTGCTGGTTCTTCCCGGGTTGGCTACCAACCCTTCCACCTCCGTGGAAGGGCGGTTCCCCCTGCCACTTTTCCCCACTTCCGCGGGGGAGCAGCACACCGCCGGCCGGCTCTCTCGGGGGCTGCACAGGTGTTCCCTCAGATGTTCCCCTTAGATGTTCCTGGTGCATGTTGTCTCTCTCCTCCTTTATAGTCCTCTTCCGCCAATCCCAACTCTGCTACCCACATGCCGAGTACGCTGCTCTCCTCCAATCAGGAGCAGGATCAGCTCCTGGAGGTCATCACTCAAGTTGGCAAGAGGCAGCTGCGTAGAAGCTGTTTTCTCCTCTCCCAGTGCCATATTGTGGGAGAGCAGATGCATAGAATAAGTCTTAATTCCAGTAACTCAGTCCAGTCCGAGTTGCTCCCCACAGTGCAATTCAGGTTTTTTATTTGCTTTTTCTGGAGAGCTGGTTATTAAACATTTACCAGCACACCATGAAGAATGTCCTTCAATTTAGATTTGTCTCATATTTCCTGGTGATTCTGGTGAGACTCTGTGTTTTTGGCAAGATAATAGAAGTAATTGACTCCTTCACATTGTTGTATCTGATCTCAATTTACACCATTACTGATGATGAACCTTAATCATCTGATGTAGGTGGTATCAGGTTTCTTCACTGTAAAAATCATTCATTTTTTCCCTTGTGATCGAATGTTTTGTAGCGTGGTCCTTCCTTCTTCTTCTTCTTCTTCTTTTTTTTTGTCAGGCAGAGTTAGTGAGAGAGAGAGAGAGAGACAGAGAAAGGTCTTCCTTCCGTTGGTACACCCCTGAAATGGCTGCTACGGCCTGCGCACTGCGCTGATCCAAAGCCAGGAGCCAGGTGCTTTTCCTGGTCTCCCATGTGGGTGCAGGGCCCAAGCACTTGGGCCATCCTCCACTGCCTTCCCGGGCCAAAGCAGAGAGCTGGACTGGAAGAGGAGCAACCGGGACAGAACCGGCGCCCCAACCAGGACTAGAACTCAGGGTGCCGGCGCCGCAGGCGGAGGATTAACCTAGTGAGCTTATACCTTTCCTGCCACTGCCCTGGGATCAACAGTTTCTGCAAGAAGCATTTGTTCCTTCTGATAAAGAATGATATTTAGAAAATAGGATGTGGTGCCAAGTGTGCTCCTAGTTCCTCTCAGTGGACAGAGGGAATATATGCATGTATATGTAGATTTGTGCATGTATTTCTGTATCTATCCGTGTGTATTAAAAACTATTAGCTCATATCCACACCTCCAATTCCAATCCAGAGCCACAGGGTTCATGGTAATTTTCTTCTGTGAGAAATTGGCTTCCGTTACTCTCAGCTTATATTATGTAACTGAATCACACCTCCTGTACATGGTCATTCCTCCTTTGCCTTTCTTTGCACCCCCTTCTAACCCTATCTGGGCCCTGACGCTCAGTGCCAGGCCATGTGCATGCCCTCGTCATGCCGCAGTGCACCCCCTTGCAGATGACCTCATCGCTTCCTCGTCTGACACTCCGTGCCGGGTGCTGCACGGACACCCTCTTTGACCCATTTTGGCCCTGACACTTTGCTCCAGGCTACCACTGCTGCCTCTTATGAGGGTGCTCTTCTCATCTCACTCAGCCTCTGATATCCCAAGGCTGGCTTCTGCTGTTGCTCCATGAGACCAACCTGCCCTATCTTGCTCAAGAAGAATGACCAATGTTGCCCCCCCCCGCCCTCCACGAAGATGCCCAGCTTGCTTATCCCCTATGAATGACTTTTAGATTGAATTATTCAGGAACAACAATGCTAAATGTTCCATAGTGCATCAGATAGTCTCACCCAAGGGCCTATATAGTGTCCCCATTAGGAAGTTCTGAAGTAAAAACCTAGGCACAGACAGAAAAAAAAAAAAAAAAAAAAAGAGGGAAAATTTGGCTGTGTGTCTCCATCACAGTGTAAGGAAAGACGTGAAACCAGAGATCCACATACTATAGAGCTGTCTCACCGTTTATTCACTCAGGGAGAACATGCTGATTATTTTCCCAGTTTGCTAGCTCTGGGGAACCAGAAATGAATGAACACCACGCCTGCCTTTAAGGAGTGCACAGCCTAGTCACTGTGGATGCCATATTTCATCATTTCTAAGAGGCAGGCAGTTGTAAGACGCGTTATTATGTGCACCAAGGAATGAAAAGCTTGCCAATAGAACATAATTCTTATCTTTTGGAATTTTTATTTTATGCTCATTGAAAAAGTTCTTTTATACTTATCTTTAGACTTATATAGACAGTTTTTTCTGTTGCCTTAAATCATGTATCATTCCTGTACTTTCTTAGTAATAATTTTTCAAGTGGAGCAATTTCCTCCATCATGAAATATCATCCTTTTGTGGGAAATATTCCTTAAAAAAGTGTTTTCCAAGATATTGACACCTATTTTGTAAGTTTCGATGGTCCTATTTTCTTGGTCTTATATTTTAATAAGATCTTATCAGAAGTTAATATCAAGAATTAGCATAAGTGTACTGCATCAGTTGATATAATTGATACTTCGAATTTCTTACATCTATTCCAAACGACTTGACATTTTTCTGGCTTTAGTTGTGTTACTGGGTGTATAATTGGCAATCTGTTTTTATATTCTTGGTAACAAAGTACAGTAGAGCTTTGTCTACTTGTGAGTATTTTTCTTTCTCAGTGTATCACAAAGCCCTTGGTTTGGAAAGAGATTTGAGTCATTCCTATACAACCTATATTTGCTTCATTAATATAAAATTTATACCACACTTTTCTGAGTATATGCAATTATTTGTGTACAGTTACCATTTGTTTCAAAGTTGAATCTTGATATAATTTTTTAAAGACCTGACACATCAAACAGTTATGTTGAACCCATAAAACATACAACTCAGTTGAAGTGATGACAATAGGAACAGCAGTGACCAAGTTTGCTTGCACAGGTAATGACAACTATGCCACAACCACTGCCTGGCTGATAGTGATTGTAAGATGCAGTTGAGGTAAGACACATTTCCCTTTCAGTGTTGTTAATATTTGAATAAATATGGCTTCCAGAATCAATGAAACACAGCATCACAACCACTCACCTCCCTGTGATCTGATTCCACATTCACAAGCAGTTTTGCAATAATTAATTTGGATATGCTAGGCATTTAGATATACTAGTCATTTAGATTGGCTAAAAATAAAAATCTAGACTGACAAAATCAGTATTTAGGGAGGGTGATCCAAAAGATATACAGTGCTATGGACATATCTACCATTGTCTATGCTCTTCTAGTCTAATCCTGCCCTGCTTGTGGTCTGGGCTGATTAGGCCTGACTCAATAATTGTATCTCTCCAGGATGGTTATTAGGATTGAGTTGGAAGGACTGAATTACAAAATCTACTTGGACTAATTAGATACCCCTCCTGTGGGGGGAATCTGGAGTTGGGAGATTCAGAGACCAAGATGGTCAGCAAAGGAGCAGAAGTCAAAGGTGCATTGAGAATTATTATGCTGAGAAGGGTACTGTGGAACCCAAGTTGGACAAGACACCAAATGATGCAGAGACTGCTGAAAGCACACTCAGGGAGCCCTAGGGTAGATGCATTTCCGGGAGGCTTCCCAACTGCAGTTCCCACAAAGCCAGCTGTCTACCAGAGATGGGCTGAGACAGATGTGCCCCAAATGGGCTGGTGAATTGGTACCCCTTTGAAATAACAATCTTTAAATATTGTTCAACATTGGTTTACTGACTGAGTGTAGGGAAAGACTAATTTTCTAAAGCTAGAAATAAAATATTTATTATATGTACTTATTATATGAGACTTCCTGAACTAGACAATTTATGGAAAAATATTAAACAATAAAGAATTCCTAGAGTAAAATTGACCATATCATATACTTATATTAATCAGGTTCTGACTTTTGGTTGACTGTGATGGCAGATTTTAGGCATACAGAAGTTGGCTATTATAATTGTTGGTAGCTCTATGTAGAGATTCATAGACCCATTGAAAAATGTTTTGTACACATACATTTGAGATTGAATTGATGATTATACTGTGATAGATTCTTAGAATTACATTTGCCAAATGAAGTGATGGAAATACTTTTAAGAGAATTGTCATGTATTACCAATTGCTTCAGACAAAATGCAAAGTAAAGGACTAGAATTTTTAAACTTAATAATAATGAAAGTCAATTAAAATGAACAAATGATGCATATCCCTTTCCACCAGGAGTATGTGAAAGTGCCCACGTTACATCTACTTTGCTGAGCTGACAAAAGTTTTCAACAAGTGAAAGTTTTGTAGGCAAACCAACCCATCAACCAACCAAATGAACAAAAATCAACTCCCTTCAGCCCATGCTATTTACCTGTAATTTGAATTTATTTGCTTACTTGTGAGCTTAGGTATAATCTCTGTCTTTATGGAATTCAGTCATCCTGACCAGAATTTTTTTTTGGGGGGGTTACTATTATAGAACCTATCCTTCACTTTACTTTTTTTTTTTTTTTTTGACAGGCAGAGTGGACAGTGAGAGAGAGAGACAGAGAGAAAGGTCTTCCTTTGCCGTTGGTTCACCCTCCAATGGCCGCCGCGGCCGGCGCGCTGCGGCCGGCGCACCGCGCTGATCCGATGGCAGGAGCCAGGAGCCAGGTGCTTTTCCTGGTCTCCCATGGGGTGCAGGGCCCAAGCACCTGGGCCATCCTCCACTGCACTCCCTGGCCACAGCAGAGGGGTGGCCTGGAAGAGGGGCAACCGGGACAGAATCCGGCGCCCCGACCGGGACTAGAACCCGGTGTGCCGGCGCCGCTAGGCGGAGGATTAGCCTAGTGAGCCGCGGCGCCGGCCCCTTCACTTTACTTTTTAAAAGATTACTCTGAGCAGTTCAGAGTAATCTTGGTAACAAATTAAATGAAAGGTAAAAGCCTCTTTCATTAAACACTATGGATCTCATACTACACAGTATAAATTCTTTTTCATTTAAACGTGATTTTTGTAGGCTATATGTTTAGAAATGTACACCATGTTTCACTATAATTTAGGATCCTGACCCTAGGGGTGGACATTGAGTTGCTTCCAGTCTTTTCCTGACTCTAAAATAGTGCAGTAGTAACAAGTTGACTTGCACTGGATTGTGGGCTCTATGACAGGCACTTTGCCTTGGGTGTTTGGGCTCATCGTCATAAACTTTTCATCTGCAATAGTGTCTGGTTCAGTGTGGACCCTTAATAAATATTTTTTGAATGGATAAATATATTTAGGACCCACTTGTACAAGTTTATTTGTAGAATACATTTCTCAGACATGAAATTATGCTCTCTAACAATTCCTCTTAAAGTACTCTGAGTGGACCTCCATACTTATTTTGATAGGAATCCTCCTTGGGTTGAGCTTAAACATTTAAAGCTATTTGTTCAGGCCGGCGCCGTGGCTCAATAGGCTAATCCTCCGCCTTGCGGCGCCGGCACACCGGGTTCTAGTCCCGGTTGGGGCGCCGGATTCTGTCCCGGTTGCCCCTCTTCCAGGCCAGCTCTCTGCTATGGCCAGGGAGTGCACTGGAGGATGGCCCAAGTGCTTGGGCCCTGCACCCCATGGGAGACCAGGAAAAGCACCTGGATCCTGGCTCCTGCCATCGGATCAGCACGGTGCGCCGGCCGCAGCGGCGGCCATTGGAGGGTGAACCAACGGCAAAGGAAGACCTTTCTCTCTCTGTCTCTCTCTCTCACTGTCCACTCTGCCTGTCAAAAAAAAAAAAAAAAAAGACTAGTAAACTTGTTCTTTAAAAAAAAAAAAAAATAAAGCTATTTGTTCATACATGTCAAATTTGCTCTTCACTTTATTAATTTATATTTAGCTATATTGTAATGACATACACATATCAAAATTGCAACACAAAGCTCCACGTATGGAGCATATATGAAATCAATTTTCTGTATTTGTTAGAAAAATTTTGCTAACATCTCTCTCTCTCTCTCTCTTTTTTTTTTTTTTGGACAGGCAGAGTGGACAGTGAGAGAGAGAGACAGAGAGAAAGGTGTTCCTTTGCCGTTGGTTCACCCTCCAGTGGCCGCCGTGGCCAGCGCACCGGGCTGATCCAAAGGCAGGAGCCAGGTTCTTTTCCTGGTCTCCCATGGGGTGCAGGGCCCAAGCACTTGGGCCATCCTCCACTGCACTCCCGGGCCACAGCAGAGAGCTGGCCTGGAAGAGGGGCAACCGGGACAGAATCTGGTGCCCTGACCAGGACTAGAACCCAGTGTGCCGGCGCTGCAGGTGGAGGACTAACCTATTGAGCCGTGGCACCGGCCAAACATCTCTTTTTTTTTACCTAAAAATTGTCAATCCTGACAACTTTGTTCACAAAGTAGGTAGATGTGAAATGAGCACTCAGATGTACAAACCTAGAATGGGAAAGACACATGTTCACCTTAATTGGTTTTCATTTTACAAAGTTATTTAGTTATTTATTTGGGAGGGAGAGAGAGAGGGAAAGAGAGAGAAAGTTCCCATGCACTGGTTCACGTCCATCAAATACCAGTAATGGTTGGGGCTGCAGCAGGCTAAAGCCAGGAGTTGGGAATTCCATTTGGATCTCCTGTGTGGGTAACAGGGACCTAAGTACTGGGGGCATCCCTGCTTCCTCCCAGGGTGTGTATTTGCAGGAAAAAAAGCTGGTACTCAAACCCAGGGACTCTGAAATGGGATGTAGGTATCCTACTCAGCGCCTTAACACCTATGCCAAATGCCTGCCCCTATTTTGTATATTTTTAAAAGTCTAGTCTTTTATTTTGTATTTTGTCTAAAGTAATTTCACAATATATGCCAAAGTTCTTAAAAATGTTACCATCATTTCACCAAGTCTGGTGCTAAGAATCTATCAAGGAAATAATAAATCATCAGCTTAGTCACAGATTCAGGTATAAGAACATGTATTTGCACCGGCGCAGTGGCTAATTAGGCTAACCCTCCACCTTGCGGCGCCAGCACACCGGGTTCTAGTCCTGGTCAGGGTGCCAGATTCTGTCCCGGTTGCCCCTCTTCCAGGCCAGCTCTCTGCTGTGGCCCGGGAGTGCAGTGGAGGATGGCCCAAGTACTTGGGCCCTGCACCCGCATGGGAGACCAGGAGAAGAACCTGGCTCCTGCCATAGGATCGAGACAGACGCTAGTGTACAGCACCGGCCGCGGCGGCCATTGGAGGGTGAACCAACGGCAAAGGAAGACCTTTCTCTCTGTCTCTCTCTCTCACCGTCCACTCTGCTTGTCAAAAAAAAAAAAAAAAAAAAAAAAAAAAAAGAACATGTATTTGCAGATGGATTCACTGCTGAATTCTACCAGACATTTAAAGAAGAACTAACTCCAATTCTTCTCAAACTATTCAGAACAGTTGAGAGGGAATCCTCCCAAATTCTTTCTATGAAGCCAGTATCACCTTAATCCTTAAGCCAGAGAAAGAAGCAGCATTGAAAGAAAATTACAGACCAATATCCCTGATGAACACAGACGCAAAAATCCTCAATAAAATTCTCACCAATAGAATGCAACAACACATCAGAAAGATCATTCACCCAGACCAAGTGGGATTTATCCCTGGTACGCAGGGGTGGTTCAATGTTTGCAGATCAATCAATGTGATATACCACATTAACAAACTGCAGAAGAAAAACCATATGATTATCTCAATAGATGCAGAGAAAACATTCGATAAAATACAACACCCTTTCATGATGAAAACTCTAAGCAAACTGGGTATAGAAGGAACATTTCTCAATACAATCAAAGCAATTTATGAAAAACCCACGGCCAGCATCCTATTGAATGGGGAAAAGTTGGAAGCATTTTCACTGAGATCTGGTACCAGACAGGGATGCCCACTCTCACCACTGCTATTCAATATAGTTCTGGAAGTTTTAGCCAGAGCCATTAGGCAAGAAAAAGAAATTAAAGGGATACAAATTGGGAAGGAAGAAGTCAAACTATCCCTCTTTGCACATGATATGATTATTTATTTAGGGGATCCAAAGAACTCTACTAAGAGACTATTAGAACTCATAGAAGAGTTTGGAAAAGTAGCAGGATATAAAATCAATCCACAAAAATCAATAGCCTTTGTATACACAGGCAGTGCCACGGTGGATAAAGAACTAAGATCAATCCCATTCACAATAGCCACAAAAACAATCAAATATCTTGGAATAAACTTAACCAAGGACGTTAAAGAACGCTACGATGAGAATTACAAAATCTTAAAGAAAGAAATAGAAGAGAATACCAAAAAATGGAAAAATCTTCCATGCTCATGGATTGGAAGAATCAATATCATCAAAATGTCCATTCTCCCAAAAGCAATTTATAGATCTAATGCAATACCTATCAAAATACCGAAGACCTTCTTCTCAGATCTGGAAAAAATGATGCTGAAATTCATATGGAGACACAGGAAACCTCAAATAGCTAAAGCAATCTTGTACAACAAAAACAAAGCCGGGGGCATCACAATACCAGATTTCAGGACATACTACAGGGCAGTTGTAATCAAAACAGCATGGTACTGGTACAGAAACAGATGGCTAGACCCATGGAACAGAATAGAAACACCAGAAATCAATCCAAACATCTACAGCCAACTTATATTTGATCAAGGATCTAAAACCAATTCCTGGAGCAAGGACAGTCTATTCAACAAATGGTGCTGGGAAAACTGGATTTCCATATGCAGAAGCATGAAGCAAGACCCCTACCTTACACTTTACACAAAAATCCACTCAACATGGATAAAAGATCTAAATCTACGACCCAACACCATCAAATTATTAGAGAACATTGGAGAAACACTGTGAGATATAGGCACCAGCAAAGACTTCTTGGAAAGAACCCCAGAAGCACAAGCAGTCAAAGCCAAAATTAACAATTGGCATAGCATCAAATTGAGAAGTTTCTGTACTGTAAAAGAAAGTCAGGAAAGTGAAGAGGCAACTGACAGAATGGGAAAAAATATTTGCAAACTATGCAACAGATAAAGGGTTGATTACCAGAATCTACGAAGAGATCAAGAAACTCTACAACATCAAAACAAACAACCCACTTAAGAGATGGGCCAAGGACCTCAACAGACATTTTTCAAAGGAGGAAATCCAAATGGCCAACAGACACATGAAAAAATGTTCAAGATCACTAGCAATCAGGGAAATGCAAATCAAAACCACAATGAGGTTTCACCTCACCCCGGTTAGAATGGCTCACATACAGAAATCTACCAACAACAGATGCTGGCGAGGATGTGAGGAAAAAGGGACACTAACCCACTTTTGGTGGGAATGGAAACTGGTAAAGCCACTGCGGAAGTCAGTCTGGAGATTCCTCAGAAACCTGAATATAACCCTACCATACAACACAGCCATCCCACTCCTTGGAATTTACCCAAAGGAAATTAAATTGGCAAACAAAAAAGCTGTCTGCACCTTAATGTTTATTGCAGCTCAATTCACAATAGCTAAGACC